TTGGTTGTTTTCAAAGGGAGCAGGACTGGGCCTCTGCAGAGGTCAGGATCTGCAGAAGCACTATTGTCTGATCGTCCTTTTCGACCATTTCTATGCTGCGACACACTGTTTGAGTAGGTGTCATTATCAGTCCCTGAGCAGACACCATTGTGTAGTGAAGCCTGTTAACACAGGTGACAGTGAAATTCCAGATATTTTGGCTGCTAAAGGAGGTGGTCAACTCAAGTAGCATGACCACAGGGAAAAAAAAAGGAAAAGAAGAACTTGAAGATCATTTTCCTCTGTACGTTGCCAAGTTGCTTTTCCTGATGTGGCTCCTTACCCCGTGTGTGACATCTATGGCTAAGGCGTTGTCATATTTCTGGTATGCTAACATAACATTTGACTGCCTTCCTCTGCATTCTTGTAATTAACTCCTAATATTAAAGCATTTTCCATTTCTGGATTCCTCAGCAAGCTGATTGAAGGGCGGTTTAATTGCACAGCATTGCCAAGAAACATGTTAGGTGATTGCTGGCTGTAGTAAGAGTTAATGTAAAGGTAATAGGAGATATCACAGGGACTAAGATTTTGCTGGCCATTAGCAGAGGTGACTTCAAAAAGCAAATGATGATTAGTATAGGTTTCACTGAACCAAGTTTCCTTCTGCTGCTAGTCACTGGATCTTGAGCTGCTCTCCTGTTAAAGATTTGCATGTATTTTCCTGGATTCTCGATGGAAAGGACACTTAGGGGAAAAGGGTATAAATCAACAAATAACAGTGTAACCTGCAGAAATATAAATCTATGTAGATTAATCCGTGTTTCCTAAATTGCATACTAGATTGTAATTCAATCAAAGGGTTGGGGTCTTGTGACGTTTATGAACATTTATGGATCGTACGAGCGCTCAGATTAAATGTCAAACCTGGTATTCAGTTTAGAATCACGTATTATTGTTGTTCATTAATATATAAAAACAACAATTATATCCACTAAAACCCTCAATTTAATTTTGCTGTAATCTGTCTCTGCTGTGTCAGAGACGCAGTGCAGCCTCTCTGCCCGCTCAGATCATTTACAGGGCTCCACTGAATTTCAGCTGAGTCTCCTCTTTCACCGTGTTCCCCCAGCATGGCACTGGCTCCGTTTGGCCCCCTCTGAAGGGAGGAATTCTCTAGTAAATTATTTTCTTCATCTTCTGCTGGGTTTAAATTCTAGTTTAGATACCGAGCAGGTGTAGTGCATCCAGGAGGAGAGGGGTGACAAGACTCTGTATCTTAGATCCGATATGCTGAGTAGATTATGTATGATAAAGCTGTGCCCTTTGCTGGTTCCCTCTCGGTAAAGGGTGAAAATGTTTTGAGGCAAGAGCAGTCAGTTTAGGATTATCTGAATCCATTGCCAGTCCTCCCTGCTTAAAGCAGTTCATAATTTGCCTGCTTCTTGCCAGTCTGGGGGCTGAAGGCATAACATTTCTCACCTTGGTAGTGCATTACATCAGAGAGATCCTAAATCACTTTGCAAAAATGGAGCAGAATCGCTGTCCCAATTTACTGCTAAGAAAAAGGCACTTCAAGCAGGTTAACTCAAGCCATTTAGTGAATAAATTGTAAGAAGCAACTGAATGCCAATTGCAAAAATTACTTTGGCACCTAAGATGTTAATTTCATTGAAAGTAAGCAGTGCTTAAGCTAACAAAGGTAAAATATTATCAAGTCCCCAGGTGGTTTACAGCCAAAATTTCACTGACTTCCAATGGACTTTGACACAAATGCTTAAGTCACTTTTGGAAATTGCAGTTAGCCTCATAAATTGATTACCTGCTTATATAATGTAACTCATATGACTGGATTTCACCATCTTAACTCCCCATAAATAGAAATTCTTCAGTGTTTAGGAACCTTATTCTCATTAAACTCAAGGGGGGATAGATTCCTAAATACCCTTAACATTTAGACCTTGCTTGTCTCTTAGTCTTTGTCATTTAAATGGAATTTATTCACGTAGCAAAGAAAGAGAAAGTGGGCAGAATCTGGCCACAATGAAGCAAGGGCAGGATTAAGATTAGCCCCTGGCTATTCTGTCCAATGGCCAAAACAGCTTCCAAATAATAATGATTAATTAACACTAGGAATTCAATATGAAAAGGATCAGTGGATTCCCTTGTCCACCCCACCAAATAGAGCCATACTGGGCTGAAAACAAACAACATAAATAGAGACGGGTAATTATTCTGCTTATAACACAGACACCTGGGGAAAACGGTCAGCTTGCTTAGACTTCATTTTTTTATGTTCTTATATAATAGTATATCTTGAAGAAATCTACTGTGTTAATCTAATGTAATTAGGTTAAGTATGTCTCTAGTGACAAACGGCACCATATGATAAAAAGTTTCACCCCAGCATTTTAATGGTTCAGGTTGTGCTCATGGTTTCAATTAAGTCAGCACGATTGCACAGGGCAGTAAGAACAGGATTTGGCCCACTTCTCTCCCGCATACGTGTTCTGCAGTTATCTAACCTGGAATGAATCATAGTTTCCTCAGACACATCTTGTTTTTCCAATACTTTACATGGAAAGTTTTGTTTTCATGTATTTTCTTTTGAACAAAACTGGTAATCAAGCATCCAAACCAATTGCAATCATTTAAAAAATTATGGTGTTTCAGTTCTGGTGATTTGCCAGATTGTAGTTTGCAGCTTCTAGTATATTGTGCCTGTCTAAAATTACCCTACAGTTTTAATTAAGTACGACAGTCTTGTTCACTTCTTACAACAAATTTGACAGCAATGTTGGTGTAAGTCATTACTCAGCACCTCCAGAGTCTCAGGCCATAATTTGTAGAATTCTTTGGCATCCGTGTCATCAAAGTTGCTTGACTCTTTCCCTTAAGAGAACTTGTTTTATGTTGCTTATAGCAGAGCCAAACTCTAACCACTCGGCCTAAAATTTTCCATTCTGTGTTTTTTTTCCCATGCTGGATGCCTCCTGCTTTTTTTTTTTTTACTTTTTTACTTTTTTTTTTTTTTAACTCCAGGGGTCCAAGGCACATTCTTTGGCTTAGACCTCTTGTCTCAGGTTCTTCCATGGTGTGCAGCTCACTGTCCCATCTGCCCAAAACCCTGAAAGGAATACTTCCCAACTACCAGCTGCCATCCTTCTTTTTTTTTTTACTTTTTGACCTTTTTTTTTTTTTAACTCCAGGGGTCCAAGGCACATTCTTTGGCTTAGACCTCTTGTCTCAGGTTCTTCCATGGTGTGCAGCTCACTGTCCCATCTGCCCAAAACCCTGAAAGGAATACTTCCCAACTACCAGCTGCCAACAGTCCTTCACATACAGTCTGTCGCAGATGAATCTGTGGGCTTCATGGTTAAATCTTCAGGAGCAATGTAAAAAGAAAATAAGGGATACATGCTTCGCAAAGGAGTTTTTTGCACCGGGAGAACTTCCCTGCTAAAGTTCATCAGAGTAATGGATTCTTGAAAGGAACATAAATAGTGACCTGCTCTCTCCACCAGCCTCATCTTGGCCTTCCTTTCATCTTACGGCACTTCAGCTTTTCAGTCTGGGCAGGATCCATCCTGTCATCTGTCTCATGCAAATCTTCCTTACATGTGGGAGCAGTCAGCTTCTTTAAGGAGAAATTCGCTGTTAAACAGGGCCTCTCTGGGTGGCCTATCCAAAGGATGCTGTAAGCATCTTGTTTGCTGCCCTGCAGTTTTTATGATTCTTTCTGCTCTTTGCTGTATTTCTTCCACCTCCCTTGCGGATGACCAACCGCTAGATGTGCACACGTGCTTTCTCTCACACTGTCCTCTACCAGGCCCATAATGCCCACAAATAATAGCTACAACTCTGAACAAATTTTCTGTCTGCCTTCCCTCTTTCTCTCCTGTGACAACTCCTCACTTTTCCTTCACTGTCTCAACTTAGGTTTGTATGTCTCTGAATAGTTTTACTTGCTTTGAGGAATGATGGAGCTAATCTCTGCCTGTAACTGGACAGAGAACAGTAGGTGAGGGCCATGTCTTGATTTAAGTACTGGAGTACACCACATGGATTCCATGATCTTTGTCCATCGTGCTCCTGGTCCCCTGATAGCAATCTTTTGGAGAGCACTGTCTGGTCTGACTACCTGAATTTCTTCCAGCTTGGTGAAGGGAAGGGGGGACAGGACTGATTTGTAACTGTGAACATTTGGGGGCATCTGCCTTTGTTTTCTGTGTCCAACAGGAGTGTATCTTCTTGTTACAATTCAGAGCATCAGGCTTTGATTCATTTTGTCTATTACTTCATCCCAGGTTAATATGTTTTGGAAAATGTGTTGGCAATAAAGCTTAGATACTCCATAGTAGACTTTGGAAACTAGATCTGTAGTCTACCAAAAGTTTGCAATCCTTTAGCCATTCCACTTTCATGCAGCCATTTTTTTTCTTAGGGGTCTCAGGGTAACAAATCTGTCAAGTCCAAAAGATACTGTGTTGACAGAAGGAACTAAGACAACACAATTTTTCTGTGCAGCTATCAGCCGTAATGTAAGCATCCTCAGCCCTAATAATATGCCTAACCCATCTACTGTGAAGGTCAGGATCAAGAAGAGGAGTTCTGTTTCAGAGGCCTGTATCATCTGGCATGACTGCTAAGAAGGATGCCATTCAAATCTGGCAGTGTTTTTGTGATAAGAGCATTTGTTCATTGGAGCCACAAGCCTATTTCATGGAGGCTGTTGAACAGCCACCAGAGGATATTTAGTCTCTGCTGGCTAGGAATTATCCCAGGACTGAAAGGTTCCTCAGCCATTACCAGTTTTCTCAGCTACATAGTTTTGGGGTCAGGTAATTTCAAAATTTCCAAGATTTATGCAGTTTGTGAATTTAAAACACTTTTTTTTTTCTCTCTCTCCTGTGGGAACTGCTACCATCTGTGAGTCTCCTCGATCCCTGTTTTATATTGGTATCGTTTAGTCTGTTTATTGTCACTTAATTTCCTTTTTTCTTTCTCCCTTTTCTTCTCAGATCACTCACGATCAGTTTGTGGCCTTCCTCTGAAGGAACCTTTCCTGTCTCTTGTGTAAGTATTTATACCAAACATTTTATACTTTTCATTGATATGAGTTGTGCATTTTGTTCAAGTTCCATCCAAGTCAGGCCGGAGCCCTTGTGAACTTCTCTGTTGCTCCCCATGGCCACAGGACTCAGTACTGAGTTTTTATTCTAATGCAGCCATCCAGGATTTTAATGCAGTGTCAGCTTATGGGACTCAGACTTAGTTCAGTGACATTGTGTGATTGATTGATCTGGAATTTATATATGGATGACAATATGGAAGGTTTCTGTTATATTTGGGGATATACCTGTTGTGATGGGCATTACGCTGTTGTGTCTGATTCAGAATAAAGCATATAGTATTCCATGCTGTGCAAGCATAAAACAAGTACAGAAAACAGTCAACTCGCATTTCAACCTGTCCTTGCTGAAATCTGACCGTGTGGCATGGGACCCTTCCTTACCCAGTCCTGTGTGTTGTCCTATCTAATACCGACCTACTCTTCTTATCTGGGTGGATTAAATATGCTGTATTGTCTTTGACATCTAACGATACTGGAATTAAAAATCTGTTAGTGGTGTCTTTGGAAAAATGTTATGTAGGGTTCTTTTTTTGCCTGGTCTCATTCACTTGAGTTTGGCTGCTGCTATGTAAGTTGTCAATTCAGTGACTTTTTTTAATTGAAGAAAATGCTATATTAATCCAGATAATTGTGTTTTTAAGACCTAGAACAGGAAGAATTAAAATTTTCATGGTTTAAGTTTTGCTTTTTCCTTTTTGGGGGGATAGGGGATGGAACTTTTGGGAGAGTTTGTTTGTTTTCATTTGGGTTTTAGTTTTGCCAGGTTTTGACATGTGATAGTTTTGCGTATTTGGAACAAAAGTTTTCATTTTGCTGGGATTCCTTCATACATATTGGCAGTGAAATCTAGTGTTCTTTAAACAATGATGCTTCTTGTTGCCATATAAAGGGAAATATAGCACTACCACTTAATAATATTTACTATAGTTAAGTAACGACAGACCAAAGTTTTCCAAATGTCTACCAGCATTTTAAGCCACTGTTTGGGATGTCCAAGTTGGATGTATTTAGTGAATGCCAAAAATAATGAGGACTTTTAAATTTAGATTTAGAACTTCATGTCCAAATATGCCTAGACTTTGTGTTACTTTAGATCTCCATTTTGCAATTTAAATTCATGTCTACTACCCGTTCAGAGAGGAAAGTAGATGGCTGTTAAAATGCTGCCTAGAATTTAAAAAAAAAAAAAAAAAAGCATAGCACAGTAAGAAAAACAGCTCTTTCATATTTGGGAGAGGACTTAAACCTGCGAATTTATGTTCAAGTTGCGTTTTGATTGTTGAAATTTCTTCAGAGGGACGCTAAAGTGCAAATGGACATTCATAATTTTTTCAGGTACATGCTGAAAAAAATCAAAGAGCTTTCTTTTCCTGATACTAGACCTAAAATATGTGACTTTAACATTTAAAGTTGACTCACTACTTCTGCGGTGCAGAAGGAAACGGCACACTTCATTCTCCCCCGCCCTGTGGGCAGAAACATGAGATATGCTGCAGTGGCTGCGAAAGGTGGTATGGCAATGCCAGCTACCAAGGAGATGTATTTGAGCTGACCTATCATGCCTATGGTGTTCCCATATTTCTTCCCTTTCCCCTTTGCCTTTCATTATAAGGTGTCCCAAATCTGTAATTTACAACGTGCTGTTCCAGTTTTGCTCTGATATATTTGCTACAAATAAGTAGGAGTCTATGCGCGTGCATAGCTCCCCGTGGCAGTGTCAGGCCTGTGAGATGAGGGGAGCAGAGGCCCCCACAGAATGCAACATGGCTTACGTCTAATGTGACATTTATTTGACTCGGAAAGGCAGTTGATTAAAGTCCCGTCAGACCTTTGCCATCATGTATTATGTATTTATCCAGCAGGGGCGGTTCATAACGGCCCCTGACAAATCCTATTATTTTTGTTGCAGAACTTCATAATATCGATAAAAAGTGTTAATGATACTCAGGGACGTGAAGCGCACACCGCTTATGTTAACACTTCCTGCAGCAGCGGCAAAATCATTTATGTCTGCGGCAGGGACCGTGAGCCTTCAACATTTGCACAAAGGCACCAGTTTATCGTTGTTCTACCTCTGCAGCACAAGGCAGTTGAGGTGGAAGCAGCAAGCTGGCTTCATGGTAGGTAGGCGTGTGGAAACCCAGAGCTGAAATCCCTCTCTGACAGTGCTTTGCTGTGTGACCATGCATAAGTCGTTTCCCGTCTGTCTGCCTTTGTTTCTTGACCTGTAAAACTAGAGTTACACACTTCCTTGCTTCTTTAAGTCAGGCTTATTCCACAGCCAAGGGCTTCTTTGTGCTCCCCCGCTCCCAGCTTAGCAAGCTCCCTAGGAGCTTCACTTTATTTCAGGCACATGTGTAAAGTTTGTATTGTTTGTACTGGTTCTCTCCTTTCTCTCTGGAAGATAGGTCCTTCAGGCCACTGATACTCTGAATTCTTTTGGGTAACAGAAAAAGTAGAATCAGGACATTTTTACATTAGAAGCTGTTAATGGTACCTGTCAAGCATGTTTCTGATCTAGAGATAATAAGTGATTTGTTCTGCCCTCTGCTTCAATACCCAGCGCTGGGCTCTCTTCTCATATCCCTACCCACAACTTGCCAATGATTCAGTCTTCCTCCTCCCCCAGGTTACACATATGTCTGTCTGACTATATGGCATCGAAGTTTTGGAGGTAGAAGGATTTCACGGATCTTTCCCCCAAACGATATATTCCCACTTAAGAGGAATAAATTAATCCCTGCTCCACTTGACAGTCCTCAGGAGTTTGAGAGAAGCAGGTGTATTCTTTGTCAAAAATTGACGTTTTCATGGAAGAAGAGTCTTCCAACTGGTCTTGAGCCTTTCTATCATATTGTCAACAGCGTGTAACAGTATCAACAATACTAAGGTGCTTTACAGTGAATAGGTAGCTACAGTAGGATAAATAGCTACAGTAGGACACTTCTTTTACTTGCAGAGCACTACCTGTTCAGATGGAACCCATACAATATTGAAGAGTTATCCGCTGTTAGCTTTGGTAAGTGCAAATCAGAAGCGCACCAAAGTGATCCAGATACAAAGAAGTTGCAGGACATGTTAACCTAATTGCATGAACATCTGTCCATTTCCTTGAAACAGGTTTCTGATGTAACTGGGCTGTAGTGAACTCCAGCATCATTCCTATTAGATTCAGCACTAATTCTAATCCTTGTTATTTGACATCCTGTTAAAAAAAAAAAAAAGAAGAAATAAAAAAAGTGCCATTTATTCCTCAGCTTCATGAAGACATAATCGGTCAAGTAATGATGACCTAAGGGAAGCTGAGCAGCATCTTACTGATCTCATCATAGTTATGAGAACCATCCGTCATATGGTCAGTGATTTGTATGTCAAAAGACACCCAGCAGTATTCCAGCCTGCCAGTTGCCGGTTTCTGAGAATACGTATTCACTTTATCAGACATGATGATGCTCAAATAGTCTTTGATATCTATATATGTGTCCCTGCTGCTGGTACTTGTTCACCACCAAACTGTCATCTGTTAGCACTCTGAACCATCAGCATTGAAACAGCAACTAATTAGCACTGTCTGAATCCCTTTATTTGGTTAGTGTGCAGATGAGGAACAACAACAGTGATTTCTACATCAGGAACAGGGAGGAGGTATCTTTTCTCCTCTCAGGTTTCTTAAGAAGCTCTCCATTACTTCAGAGGAGGATAATAACCTCCAGGTCAAGCTTATTCATGAATCAAAAATGAACATTTGGAAAATGCCAAAAAAGTCTACATGTAATAAGCCTTATGTTTACAACAGCTTTCAAGAGTTAGCATTTTTCAAGAATTATCATAATTAATGTAATAAATAGACATGCAAATTACCCAGAAGAATCAGTTGATCTACTTCTGAAAATAAGGGGTTGTTGGAAGGGAATGGTCACCTACACAGCAATCTGAGACAGGAGAGGGGTATTATTTCCCCAGCTTTTATGGGTCTCCTGAAGGAAGGGAATGTTCCAAAAAAGAGAACAACATGGGCAGAGGCCTTTTATTTGGCATTTGCAGATGAGAGAAATGGTAAAACAGACTCAAAATAGCAGTGGAGCAGGAATTCTGCTCTGATGTGTTTATAGAAATCAAACCGTATAACCGGGAATGCACCTCAGGATGAATGTTCTTGAACAAGTGCCACAACTTTAAGCTTTATTCTTTATCTGAAGACATAACCATCAAATGGACTTAAGCAAGTTTTCATTTACATGAAAAAAAACTTATTTAAAACAAATCTGACAAAGTTCATGGTTTTGTTCTGAAACATATTTAATAAAAATAGACCCTATTATCCAGAAAACCAGAGAAGTAACCAGGTTAAAGAAAAGGGCAACATTTGATACTAGTTTTTCATTCAAGCATTAGTTTAAGTGTTAACATTCAAATTACTTAACAAATAATAATTGCTGCTCGTAGCTGTGAAGTTGATGCGTGGATTACAACAGAGGCATGTATGCAACCTGCTTTCCAATTGCAATACCTACAAGATATCCACTGAGGTTGGATGAGATTGAATTTAAGATTGGCCAGCATGACAGCTGAAAATGTCACACCTCTCTGCCATTATGCTTGCTAGAGATCTTTTTGTTCTGGGTTATTTTTCATCAAATTAGCGTAATATAATGTATTGAGTGTTAGCTTTTTTTGAAATATAACAGATTACAGCAGGAAAAAAATGGACTTTAAACTAGACAGTTCTAGGAGCATAATATTTTAGATTTAGCTAGAAAAAAGAAAGGGACAGAAAGAAAATGCAGTTGTTCAGTGCGCTTTTACCCCACACTGGAGTAATTTAATATATTTGGATGGAAAAGACCACCTTGCTGAATCAGTAGCAGCATTTCCCACAGCAGTTTGAATGCCAACCATCAAAGTATTAAGACAGTCCAGTTTGTTAGGTCTGAAATCACTGCGCAAAATGGCACAACTACAGAGTGTAGCAGAGTTTTTAAGAATATTCGCTTTGCAGTTATGGTAAATTATCTTCCAACTTTGGCAAGCACGTTGCTATTCTACAGTTACATCAGCAAATGTCTCTCTTTCTTTTCTGAAATGTATTGTCAGTCCTTCTCCCTGTGCAGAAATCCTCTTTGATGCACCCTGCTTTAGCATTATGTTGTATAGCTGTCTCCTTAAAATGTACACACCAGATATAAGGTAAAAACGGTACCAAGAGCAAGTAGTGCTGGAGGAGTGGTTACTATAAAACTGGATATCCAGAAATAGGTAGTTTCCCAAAAGTCACTTCTTCATCAGAAGATTTGACTATGAAACTGGCACCGAAATGCGAATACTCATGGAGGTCTAAATGCCAGACCGGGTCTCCATATTCGTGCTGAATGTCCGATGTGTAGGACACCACAATTGAAAATGAGCTTGTAAGAGTATCTCCTCCATCTCCTTTTTCTCTCCGCCTCTCCCACTTAAAAAAGAAATGAAAGCCATCTGCCGTGCAGTTTAGCTGTGTGCCATTACACAGGTGTGCATGTCAAAACATATGTGATTAGTCTTCAGGCCATGCTTTATGAAAGCTGTTTTACCTCTTGGTGGGAATGGGAACTCTTAGACATAAAAGATTCGCAGTGTATTAAGAAATAATGTTTTCTTCCTCTGAAGTTCTTGTTCAGTGCTGCTTCTTTCCATCATTTTGGATAATATCATGCTGAATATGGTT